TCTTCAGTGGCTTGTGGACCTGCTATCTTCAATGGCTTGTGGACCTGCTATCTTCAGCAGTAGTGCTACTTCTATGAAGTCCCATGGCTGCACCTGCAGCTGAAACTGCTGCTTGAAGTTCCACCAGTTTCTGTCAGCATCAGCTTTAAATCCTCCGGTGGCTTCAGAGCATCCATGTTCTTTGTTTTCTAGTGACTAACTTTGTTCACTTTACTCCTGACACCACGTTGTGTTCTGTTGAGAACTAGGAGGCCACGTGCTTCTGCATTTAACACCCTTTATTTTGTTGCCACACCTGACTCAATCCTTTCTTCTTCTACCTGTTCATATTCGAACCTCCACCTGTGAGCAAGAACTATACTGACATCTAGTGGCTACAACTAGAATTCACATATCAAAATAGTTTACAGTTCTTTTACAATGACTTTAAACACTGAACGTTCTTTACAGCAGCATTTTTAAATTATTACTATACAACAAATCTTTTATTAGCATCATTTTTGGAGGATTTTTACATCAATTTAGGCAGAAAACTGCAGTTTTTGTTGTTAAAAAATGAGACAATCTTTTTTCCACTTTTACTGTGACGTGTGTCCAGTTGTGGGGAGAAAATAAAAACTTTAAACTAATATTTTTAAAGCACCTTTTGCACCAGACTTGTGCAAAGCTTCAAATGAAACCATAAAACAACCTTTGATCAGAATCAAGTGTTGGAGTAGAAACTTCACTTTGTACGACTGAAGGAAAATACTTTGTTAATCTATGGTGAGATGATAAATCAGGAAAATAAATCCAATAAAATAATGTTCTTCTGTAATTTATCTGGATTATGTAGATTTCAGAGCTAATTTTTTAAACTCCACAAATTAACGTTCGATTCCGACTCATAAGATACATAAACATAAGATAGTAAAAATAAAGTTACCAAAGTACAATTTGGAACATTAGTAACTAACATTTTCAAATACATATTTTTTAAAACTAAATTAACTGCTGAAAAGTATTGGATACATATATTTGTAATATATATTTTTAAGTATGGTTTGAAAACAAAATTTTACAAATTCATTCAAGGTGCATTGAAAAAGTTTATATCAAGTTTAATTTTATAAATATGATTGAAATTTCTTTTATAGTTTGCAACAAAAAAAAACTCCATAAAGTGTAACAAAATATATTTTATAACAATGTACTTGAAGTATATTTATTTATTATTTATATATTGTATCTATTTATTTTACATTTTCGATGTAATCCTGATAAGTACATTTACTTGAGAACATATTTTAATGTATTTCTTGAAAATTAAATCTACTTAAAATATACTGAAGTACATTAAATTTTCCGCCGGGCATATTCTGCATAAAGTCGTAAGAACAAATACAAAATATAACTTTATTGTCAAACAAAACTTTTTAGACGTGACCGTGTGTTTCAGGCATGTGGACCTTCATGAGAGCAACACGTAAATAAAGGTTGAATGAACAAGTTCGTTCAGCTCGAGCAAGAAAACGTTTTGTCACGGGTCAGATTTCCCGTTGTGATCGGTCTTTGTATTTCCATCTGACCCAGAATCCTGATCCTGGTCCTCAGGTCCAGCAGAACTCTGAGATGAGCTGCTCCAGCTTCACGCAGTCGTCTCCTTGAGCTGATCTTCCTCCTGATTGGTGCAGAGCTCCTGCTCCTTTACCTTCATCTCTGCAGATTCTTGCTCCTTCAGTTCTTCTTTGATCTGTGGAGGTTCTGGTTCCTCCTGGTCCAGGCTGGAGTTCCTGGTAAAGCTGCTGGTCTGTGAGAATCAGCTCCATCACTCTAGACTTGAAGGTTTGAACAAGTTTCTCAAGAACTGTTGCTTCTGTTTGTTTTTCAGCACCGAACTTATTTTACTTCAGCACTTTATTTATTGTGGGGTAAAATAAAACACATCACTTTGCTCATTGTTTAAGTTTATTTATTCACGTTAATGTTTTACTGAGAAGTCTTCAGGCCTGAGAGTTTCACAGCTTCATGCAACTTGTTTCTTTAAAACTTAAGAATGTGGTCAAGTGTTGTTCACTCTTCACCCTGAAGGTTTTTTCTTTTTCAGTAGAAAACATCTTTTGTTCTAAAGTTCTGTCAAACTTGTTGGACATTAGAAACAGCCAGTTGCCTCAGACGCAGCCTGTGGCGCCGTTCTCAGCTGACCTGTTAATAAAACAGCAGAACATCAAAAGATGCACTGTGTGAATGTACTCCTGCACTTTAATGTATCCAAACGCTAAAAACGCAGGTCCACGTTGGATGTAAACGCTCGGCACAGTCTCCTGATCATCCTACGTCAAGCCGCCTGCAGTGCGTAAAAACATTTAATGTTGGACCCACACAGTCACTTATTGTCAAAAACACACGTTTAAAAAAGAAAAGTCCGGCAGGCAGGAAGAACCAGAAGGTTTTGATCAGAGAAATACATCTTTAAAAAGAAGAAAACACAAAATTTAAAAAAGTAACTCCCAGGCATCAGAACAAAAGAAGAAACCAAACGTTTGCTGAAACGAACTCTAAACACGAACAGGATTCAAGGATTTTCTAACTCTCCCCCGTCACGTGACAGAACATCACCTCTGTGTGCGTGCACTTTCATGTGAAGATTTACATTTGCAGATCGTTTAAAGCGCTTTCCACAGACGAAACAGGAGTACGGCTGCTCCCCCGTGTGGACCATCAAATGCCGTTTCCAGTTAGAACTGTAACTAAACGTCTTTCCACAAAATCTGCAAGAAAACCTCTTCTCACCCGTGTGCACCTTCATGTGGATTCTGCTGCCTTGTTTAGTACTGAACACGCTTCCACAAATCCTGCAGGAAAAGGCCTTCTGGCCTGTGTGTGTTCTCATGTGGTTGACAACCAGATAGTACAGTGGGGCGCTGTAACCACAGGTGGGACAGCAGTACTGCAGTCTCTCAGAGTTCTGGCTCCAAACTTTGTGGACCTGGATGTGAAGGCTCAGAAGTGAATTCTCTAGAAAAGTCTCTCCACAGATTTTACAAGAAAAACTTGCAGATGTTGCTGGTTGGTCTGCTTTGTAACCATGACGACCGTGTGTGCGATCCGTCTTCGTTGGTGACCCTGAAACCTGGTCCCCGGGTCCAGCAGAACTCTGAGAGACGAGCTGCTCCTTGTCTGGTTCTGTCACTGGAGACGGATCCGTCTCCTGCTTCAGGTGGAGCTGCTCTTCCTCCTGACTGGTGCAGAACTCCTGCTCTTCCTCTTTAATCTGTGGAGGTTCTGCTTCTTTTTCTTGGTTCTGCAGAGGTCGTTGTTCTGGCTCTTGCAGGTCCTGGCTGGAGTTCCTGTCCTGATCGTCTGTGAGACTCTGCTCAGTCTTGTGGGTCTGTTGCAGGTCTGAAAGAAGAAAAGAAAAACAAAGGCAGTAAGGCTGCAGCAGTCAGACAGACATGGTGGGAGAAGGTTGTTCAGACGTTTACAAACAAACAACAAAAGATTAAAATGAACTCTGTCGTGCACAGGGAGCCAGTGAAGGGACGCCAGGACGGGAGTGATGCGCTCGCGTCTACGGGCCCGAGTCCACAGGCGAGCAGCAGAGTTCTGCACAAGCTGCCGACGGGCAGGAGGTCTGGATAACGCAGGTTAGTCTCACTGATGCATCACAGTCCAGACGAGCCGTGATAAAATCTTTTCTGAACAACACTGATCTGTTTTTCAAATTTAAAATCAGACTCAAACCGTTCACCTCAACCAGTGATGTCGTTGGGAGGTGGAAGGAATACTTCTCCGACCTTCTCAATCCTCCTGGCACGTCTTCCATGGAGGAAAATGAGTCCGGGGACTTCGGCTGAGGTCACTGAGGTAGTTAAAAAGCTCCGAGGTGGATCTAAACCAGATCTGTTCAATTCAGACGTCATTAAAAAAAATCTGATTCAGCTGCGTCCAAAAAAAAAAACTATAAAAATCGTGGTTTTCTGTAGCAAACACAGGACACCAACAGATATGATCTTTACAGAGCGTCAAGTTAAACAAAAACTAGTTTACAACTGAGAAAAGAATAAAAGATGTTCTGACTCCAAGTAGTTTTCTCTGCTCCACTGTGACAAATCCTCTGATGTCATGGAACCTCAGTTACAGTTTGTCCTCAACGATGGAAGAAAACAGTCTGGACGGGATCTAACAAACATGTATGTTTGGACGCACATGTTATTTTTCAAAACTCAGCAGAACAGAAGCAGCTTATATAAAAGCTTATATAAAAAAACATAAGTAACAAACTTAATCAAAAAAACTCATGACGTCACCACAGCTCAGCCACGAGCCAAGAGCTAGAACTCATCCGTCTAATATAAAACCAAACGTACCAGCAAGCTGTTAGCCTCGATTAGCTCTGTTAGCTTCCATTAGCTTTTTTTAGGATCCAGTAGCTTTGTTAGGATCCAGTAGCTTTGTTAGGATCCAGTAGCTTTGTTAGGATCCAGTAGCTTTGTTAGTATCCATTAGCTTTGTTAGCATCCAGTAACTTTGTTAGCTTCCATTAGCTTTGTTAGCTTCCATTAGCTTTGTTAGCTTCCATTAGCTTTGTTAGTATCCATTAGCTTTGTTAGCATCCAGTAGCTTTGTTAGGATCCAGTAGCTTTGTTAGCTTCCATTAGCTTTGTTAGCATCCAGTAACTTTGTTAGCTTCCATTAGCTTTGTTAGCTTCCATTAGCTTTGTTAGCATCCATTAGCTTTGTTAGCATCCATTAGCTTTGTTAGCATCCATTAGCTTTGTTAGCATCATTAGCTTTGTTAGCTTCCATTAGCTTTGTTAGCATCATTAGTTTTGTTAGCATCCATTAGCTTTGTTAGCATCCATTAGCTTTATTAGCATCATTAGTTTTGTTAGCATCCATTAGCTTTGTTAGCATCCATTAGTTTTGTTAGCATCATTAGTTTTGTTAGCATCCATTAGCTTTGTTAGCATCATTAGTTTTGTTAGCATCCATTAGCTTTGTTAGCTTCATTAGCTTTGTTAGCTATCCGGATCGGTTTAAGTAAGCAGTTTTCAGGCTTATTACATTAATTATTATTTCATTTATTTATTTTTGTGTCTAAATTGTGTCTCACGGAGCTCCTGGTGGTTGTGTGAGCAGGTTCAGAGCTACGTACCGACTCCGAGCAGCTTCAACTCAGGTTTCCAGCTGACATCCAGCAGTCTGCGCTGACGGTCGAGCTCTTCTTCGTACCGCAGGATCGTCTTCTCAAACTCGGAGAAGATTTCTGAGGCAGCAGCGCTCAGTCTTTCACCGATGAACTCTCTCAGAAGATGAACCGAAGACATTCTTATAAAAACTAGTTTACTGAGAAACTGAGAAACTTTTCTCAACTGAGAAAAGACAAACTACGATCTTCAACAGCAGAAGCGCTATCAAAGGCGGGGTGTCACACACTTATGGTCCGGGTGAAACGGTGCTTCCGCTTTTTGTTCCTTCTCTGAATAAACACAAAACCTTTTTGTTTTTTTCACAAAACTCTCTCAGTTGATGAACTAAATACATTTGAGCTAAAATTAGGTTTATACTTCAATTACTAACATCTGCTAAGTTCATGGGAAAAACCAATGCAGACATGTTCTTGTTTTTAGTTTTCTACGTCACCTTACAACCTAGCTGTGTGTGTGTGTTTGTGTGTGTGTGGGTGGGGGTGGGGGGGGTGGGGGGGTGGGGGGGGGGGTTGGGTTGCATTTTTTTTCACTTATTCTCAATTTGTATGCATATTTTATGAATGTATATTGTTGTCTTTGGTATTTCCACTAATTAATGTCCTCATTTTGGATCTACTTAATTTATCTTTAATGGATGGTTATGTACCACAGAGCTTTAAGGTTGCTGTAATTAAACTTTTACTTAAGAAGTCTGATCTTGATTCAGAAATTCTGTCCAATTATAGACCTATATCTAATCTAACTTTCATCTTAAAAAATTCTATAGAAAATAGTTGCAGGTCAGTTGCGTGAACATCTACAAAGAAATAATCTGTTTGAAGAGTTTCAGTCAGGGTTTAGAGCTCATCATAGCACAGAAACAGCACTAGTAAAAGTCACTAATGATATTCTCATGGCCTCAGACAATGGACTTGTGTCTCTACTGGTCCTGTTAGACCTCAGTGCTGCATTTGATACAGTTGATCACAATATTTTACTACCGAAAATTGAATATGATGTTGGAATTACAGGAACAGCTCTAAAATGGTTTAAATCATATCTATCTGATAGATTACAGTTTGTAAATAATAAATCTTCTTCATACACCAAAATTAGTCATGGAGTTCCTCAGGGCTCAGTGCTTGGACAAGTACGCTTTATAAATGCTTCCATTGGGTAAAGTTATTAAACAACATGGGATACATTTTCATTGTTATGCTGATGACACACAGTTGTATTTGTCCATTAAACCCAATGAATCCAATCAGTTACTTAGACTACAAGCATGTCTTAAAGACAAAAACTTGGATTACCTTAAATTTTCTCCTTCACCACTTGCTCTCGCCGAGACTGGATGCTTCTGCCTCACTCTCCGCGTTGTTTTGCTGCTCTGTCTATGAAACTGCTTGTGAGCCTCTCTTGCATCTTCTGAACCATAATTATGGACTTGTTTTGATCAGTTGGTCCCTCAACTCAATTTACAACATTTCTTCAAGAGAAGACAGGCTTTAGATGAGCTGATTTTTTCCTGTTGGCACGCACGCAGCTGGACATCTCATCGACTGGAAGACTTGATGATGTGTCTATCTCTGCTGCCATCTGTGGATTTTAAGGACACATATTTAATTGGATTTACGATAACTGGTTCCTGCTTTTTGGATTCAGCTGGTGCTGGTTTTATCTACAAGCAAAGAAGTCGTCGGCAGCAAATTTGGACCTGATCACGTTGCTTGCCTTTATGATGGCTTAGTTCGTGTCTCAAGTACCTGGACTCAAATGCTTTGGGCTGAATGGATCAGATCTTGGGGATTTTACTCAGTCACGTTCCATCGGTGTGGCCATGTTATTTTGGACATTTCTGAACCGAGTGGACCAACACAGACTGAAGGTTGATGTCATTAAGTTCTGCCTGTCCCCAAAACAACTGTGTGTTTATCTAAGTTGGCTCCCTTGGCTGGTCTTGAAGGTCATCTTATCTGAATTCACCTGGAGAACATGTGATCTGACGCTCACCACCCCCTCCCTGAGGAATTTCCAACTGATAACCAGATGAACCAGCTGAATAAACATTGTGTCATCATTTCAGGACTCTTGGATTCTCATAGACGTTATTCTTGGCCATTTCTCGACATACCTCGAGAATGTTTATGGATCTCACTGGAGGACATTGGCTGATTACAGTGACCTGAGAGCATCTATAAACATTGCTGACTGATCTCATCTCCCCCCTCTGCAGAATGTCTACGTCACTATGTGCTTGTTTGTGCGAGGTGTTTTTTTAACATTAGAGTTTTTTTTCTCAGACAGGAAAAAAAAAGTATGATAGGAATTTTTTTTGTCTCCAACTCCTACACGTGTCCAGTTAACCAGTTTTTGTCTGTCCAAACAGGTCTCACTTGTAAATGAGTCTTCAAGGCTCAATGTGATTTATCTGTTTAAATAAAGGTTGAATGAATGAAAATTTTCTGGTTTTGAACTCAGACAAGACAGGTTTTGGTTTTTGGACCTGAGCACCTTAGGAATGAATGTTTCAGTCTTTCTCCCTCCTTAGATGCATTAATCTGTCCTCCAGCTCTAATGTTATAAATCTTGGTGTTATTTTTGATCAGGACATGTCTTTTATCCCCCACATTAAAAACGTTACTAGAACCTCCTTCTTCCACCTGCGTAATATCACTAACATTAGAAACATCTGATCTAAAACTGATGCAGAAAAACTGGTCCATGCATTTGTCACGTCTAGACTGGACTATTGCAATGGTTTATTATCTGGGTGTCCAAATACTTCTTTAAAACGTCTTCAGTTGATCCAAAATGCTGCTGCCAGAGTCTTAACTGGAGTTACTGGGAGAGATCATCTCTCTCCAGTTTTAGCTTCTCTCCATTGGCTCCCTGTCAAATCCAGAATAGAATTCAAAATCTTACTTCTAACCTACAAAGCTCTCAATAACCTAGCTCCATCTTATATTACAGATCTTATTGTTCCATATTTTACTAACAGAGCACTTCGCTCTCAGACTGCAGGTTTACTCGTGGTTCCTGGAGTTTACAAAAACAGAATGGGAGGAAGATCTTTCAGTTCTCAGGCTCCTCTCTTGTGGAACCAACTTCCAGTTTTTGTCCATGAGGCTGACACATTATCCAGTTTTAAAACTGGACTTAAGGTTTAAAAACCCACTACTATTCAGTAGCTTTCAACACCAGATGATCTGTGTTTTGATCCTGTATGCTCCACACTGGTTAGTCGTCATATTTATTATCTGCATCATTTTTATGTCTATATTCTGATTTACTTCATTTTGTATTTTGCTTTGTGTGTTGCCTGTTGTTCTGTCTGTACAGCACTTTGGTTGTCCTTGTCGCTGTTTTAAGTGCTCTATAAATAAAATGGTATGGTAAGACTTTCCTTTTTGATAATTCCTATAGTTAGGGTCAGCTTGAGTTTCCTGAGCTGTCCCTTAGTTCTGCTGCTATAGTCTTAGACTGCTGGAGGACAAACTGACCACATTTTCACTCTGCTACTGTCTTTACTTACTCTGCTCAACCTGTTTTATATTTGTAATTATTTTTTCTATCCTTAACGTGTGTTTTATTGTCTTTCAGATACACCTGGACCTATACCTGGACCTGGACCTACATCTGGACCTGGACCTATACCTGGACCTGGACCTACATCTGGACCTGGACCTATATCTGGACCTGGACCTA